GCATTGTCATTTGTTTTATATTGTTTTGTGTTAGTCATTATTACTTGGACTCACATTTGAGTCTGTAATAATTGTTACAGGTGTTACATTCTTTCTAAATCCATGTTTTCTGATTCATACTATGCTAATTTCCGCCACTTGCCAGATATAAACACCCAAGACGGAACTAAAGTTCCATCAAGTGTGCATAGGCTCCACACATAACTTCCGATTTTACTCACATACTCAAAGAAATAAATAAGCAATACTATCCAGAATTTCCACCCAATAACACCCACTCCTGCCTAAAGAAACAAAATAAAAATCAGAGCTGATTTGAGCCTAAGAAAGGATATAAAAGCCCATCACTCATTCTCTTTTCCAACTCTGACTATAAAATGTAGTCATACTGGAGCATGTTCATTTTCAATGTCTTACTTTTCTCTCGTGACTTTTTGTACTCTTTCACACACTCATCTGTCACATAGGCCTACACAAACTTCACACACATTCTCTAAGAAACTGGTCTTTAAACTTTTTCTTTGTTTATTTTAATTATTATACTTTTGTTAATACATGCCTTGTCATTTGTTTTATATTTATATTGTTTTGTTACTCATTTATTACTTGGACTCATATTCAAGTCTGCAATAATTGTTACTGTAAAAATAATAACAGGAGACATGTTTTCTACATCAACACAACAAGCTTTCTAACAACAATACATATTGAATATCTAAACTCGCCATAAACTTGTTATATCTTTGATTTGATTTTGTATATCACCAGAATTCTTTGGTAATGATAATATTAACCATTTTTCTCTAAGGAACCATCTGGCGTTCACTGACCAAGCAGCCAGAACTGTTTTCGGTTGAAATTTATAAAATCTTTCTATTAAAACAATTTTACAAGAAAATAGATTTCTCAAATTCAGTATTTGTTATCATTCTTTCCAATACTGATGGGTGTTTCCTTCCTGACCTTTTATTTGAAGTCGTGTGGAACGTCAATTATTATGTGATTATGTATTTAGATGTGCTGAATTGATAATACTGAGTAGTGGTGTTAGACTTTTTGTGATACTTCAAGCAATTTCATGGGATGTGTAACCATTTCCAGAGTCTATTGGTCGCATTGGAATATAAATCTGATGTATTTTTGGTAGGCCATATAATGTGGCTATAGTAGGGTGGTATTCTATGTAGGGTGGCTATATTTTATTTATATTTTAGAAGATTTTGCAAATATATCCTTCTTTTATAATTTTTTGTTTTTTTAATTGTCTTTATTTTCTGCTAGTAACATTATCATTTTTTTCATGGTATTTGGCCATCTTTAAAGTTACTATGCCTCTACTGTTGCTAGATGGTGAGATAATGATTTTGTTATTTACTAATTTGTTTAGAGCAGTGATTCTCATACTGTCACACCATATATAAAGTTTTATTTATATTACAAACAAAATTTTAAAGGTGTATTAACCTACAAATCACTCGATGAATATTTATGATCCTTGTTTTTAAAAAATTATAAACTGTATGAGGTCTTTTTCTTTAATATGCAAGTACTTTAAACTGTACATTCAGTCATAGAAATTATTTTGTTTTTAGTAAAATTCAGGTAGCATCAAGACAAAAAAAATTAAATGTGAGTCGAAATGTTTTTTCTATGAACGATTCATTGTAATATATATATATATATTGTGTGTGTGTGTGCAACCAAAGAGTAATGGTACAGTGTTAGTATTTGAATCCCACTAAATAAGTCTGCAATGGAAATAGTTGAATGAAACATTGAAATAAAATAAGTTTAAATTGTGTGTTTTTTTAAACCTGCCTTTTTATTTGAACACATTTAAATGAATTTTACTGATTTTTTTTTTTACTGGTCATAAGATAGCATTATAGTTATCAGTACAGAAAATGGAAGTGGTAAACCTTGTTCAAATATTAGTTAAGGCAACTTATGTTATCTTAGTTTTTATACCTTGGAGTAGTGATTTTGAACTGCCATACAGAAAAATATTATAATGGCATACATGTATGTGCGTATGGAAGTAATATTGGTATAGCATTAGTATTTGAATAAATGAATAAGTATTAGACTTTTTTTCAAATAATTCTTTTCACTATTCTTCAGTTTTCTGTTATTTTAAATAATTTTTTTCAAACTATTTTCTTTTTTTTAATTTAACTTTTCAAAATTTCAAATGCACAACCTGAAATAAAAGAAATCTGCCTATTATGGCATTCAACCAAATTTTGAAGTGTTCATAAAAAAAACCAGCTACAGGTTTTCCATAATTAAACCACACAAATTGTTCAAAAACATTGAAATAAAATGTTCATTCGAATATTAGACTTCAGTGATTTTTTAAAAAAAATTGGCCACCATCTCTGTTGAATAAGGGCTAAAATCAAACATATTCTAAATGTACCATGATACATTTTTTTTTCAATATAAAAGGAATATCCAACATTAGCTTAAAAACTTTATTACTGTTTTAGTCTTTTTACATGTCGTTTAGTTTTACTGTTTCAACCCTAAACAATTTAAAAATAAGAAGGATCCATCTAGGCTCAAAGATGGATCATTAAATCCATAACCTGACATTATCACAACATTCAATCAAACATTGAAGAAATTGCAAAAAAACACCAGACACAAGTTTCACACAAAATAAGCCTCATAAATAGTTAAATAGAAACATTGAAATAAAGTAAGTTCATATTTGTGTGTGTATCTTTTAAATCTATGGTTTTATTTCATAAGATTTAAATGTATACACTTTAAAATTTTGCTAAGTGTGCCATGATATTTTCATTTGTTCCTAGGTATGCTATTACTTAAAAAGATTGAGAAACACTGCCTTAGAGAAAGGTGTAAATTCACTGTGAGCACTGTCTCTTCACCTTCTTTTTCTATATACTTTGTCTCTTCTGGAAGTGGATGATCATATCTCTCCACAATGTCTTTTCCCTCACGAACATGTAAGTGCCATATTCTTTCATTCAATGCAAACCAAGGTGGGCTTACAGCCACATTATTTTGAAATATGGGTTACCAAAATTAAGCAACGTCAAACCTGGTCAGTATCTAAATGGGTGACCACTTAGAAATACCAAGCGCTGTAAGCTTGGATGTATGGTTGGTGTAATTGACAATGGCTAGGAATTGTTAATCAGAGTGCGATGTTCCAATTCCAGTTAGGTTCGTCATATTCCCTAACACACAAATACCCTTGGGAAAGGTAAGAATCCACCTCTTTCCCCCAGCTACTGGTTAATTATTTTGACGTATAGTACTAAAACTATTAATATATTAAAAAAATAATAAAATTGCATACAAAAATTTAGATTTCGGCATTAAAAAACCTGTAGAGATTAATATGCAACTAAACAAAAACAACCAACCAAATCAAGTTGAAAGCAAAGTGCTTTTCTTTGGACTAATTTTTTTGTCTTTGTTGTTGTTTTTGATTACAATTTTTTGGTTGCGTATTCTGTGAGTTTCTGCAAGAATCTCTTGTGTTCCAGAACGTTATCAAATCTTATTCTGGGTGTCATCTCTTCCAACACATGTCACATCCAGTTTTTGCATCTCTATATTCCCAGGACTACCCCATATCGATGTCTGTGAGGAAGCAGAAAATGAACTTGGCATCTCACAGATATAACCAAGAAAATAGGGGCATGTATGAATCTCAATAGACACTCACAAGATCAGCGCTGAGATCAGAGGAAGACTCTCCAACAAACACTGAGACACAAAAAGAAAGAAATATAATGTGTGTGGGAGAAGATGCGTATGTGCACACAGAAAAAGACTCGACAACACCCTGAAGCATCCAAAGAAGGCAGGGGAATATAAGTCTGAAACATGTAAAAAAAAAAAAAAAAAAAAGAAATGATTAGTCTTAAGCAAAGCTAATAGAATTATTAAAACATCGCGTCTAACAAAATTTAGACAAGAACTGATAAGTCTTCTTTCATGTGCCAGGTTCTTTCACAGTGTAGACGATCACAGCTCTCTAAAACTTCCTGTTTTTTTTTTGTTTTTCTGAGTAACTCTTGCCACTATTATTTCTGTCTTCGTGGTTCTTGTTCTGACATCTATTTAATCAGATATATTTAGTTTGTTACTTGCTGTTTACCTCTTTTTCCCTTGCCTTTACTATCCCAGGAGTTCTTTGATGATTGTCTACTCTGTCAAATCCTGTAATTTGGCTGGGAAATAAGTGATTATCTTTGTCAATATATGGACAAGAGGTTAGGATGTTAGAGTTCCAGCCATCAGACTTTGGTTTGAATCCCACCATGGTTGATTTTGTCAAAGAGATAACGTCTTGCTGATTTTGGTTTGGGGAGACATAGCACAGTTTGGGAGGTGCTTCGTACACCACACCACAAGTTGACCCAAACTGTGTGATTGAAAATGAGAATGCAAATCTGTATAGAAGCAGTCGATAGTTGTACTAGCATGAAAGCAAAAGTCACTACAAGAATATGCTTGCTTACACTGTGAAGATCCTCACCCTCATGTCTTTTTCTCATTTAAATTATTTTTAAAGTAATCCAAACAGTTTTTGTAGATGGTTCACATACCATAAACTGTGAAAAGCTATAAAAAGAACAGATTACAAATTATTTTGTTTTATTAAAATAATGTATTGGTCCGAAAAAGTTTGCTAGGTTTATTAAGTAAATTTTCTGCTCAATAACCTAAAAAACTTTTTGGTCAATAATATAAAAAGAAATGAACCTTAAAAATTGTTTTAAAAAGATGAAAAACATTAGCAAAAGATTAATTAAACAAATTTTTATGCTATTGTTCATTCAATACAAGGTTCAAGAGACACTTAAGATATAGGGTTACTAATTGAGGTTGTTTTAAGAGTATAGGATCAGGGAGTAATAGGTGCATATTGGGATGATATATAGAATATATAATGGCTGACCCTAGACTTGCATAGGCAAGATTGTAGAGTTTGCAGAAGCATCATTTTGGGAGCATGGCTTATGGCCACATTATGTTGAAACACCAGGTTCCCGTATGATCACCGAAGTTAAACAACATTGAGTCTTGTCAGTATTTACACAGGTGATTGCTTGGGAATTCCAGGTGTTGTAAACTTGAATATTCGGGTGGTGTAATGGATAATGACTCCAAATTTTTAATTGCAGAGCTGTGTTCCAATTCACATTGGGTTCATTATATTTTATTTAGTGCAAATACCCTTGGGAAAGGTATGAATCCACCTCTTCTCTCTCTAGCCATGAGTTAATTATTAATGTTTGTATCATTAAATAATTATTATTGCAAAAAATTCTTACAATCTAAAAAAAAGATATTTTCTGGATTTAAATAATCTGCAAAGGCCATAGAAAATGAATCGATCAAAACCGTAATGGAATATGAAGGGAATAAGGAGAAGTCAACTCAGTGTACTAAGGAATATAGGTCACCTGAGCATCTAAATTATTCTGAGCAACACTAGGTAATCACGTTTTGCCCCTTGACTCACTCGAAGCAAGGCAATAACGCTACTAAGATGCAAGGTGTTACTGAGTGTTAGAGAATATGAGAAAAATACTATTATGCAGAGAGAACAATAAAAGAACAAGAATTAAAAAGACAAAAGATAATGATTGACACTGCATTTAAATTTTTGAAGATCAAAGTTTACTGGGAAGCAATAATCTGGAAGAGAGTTTTACAAGTGTAATAGAAGAAGTTGTTAGCATAGAACTTACAGTTACATCTAGTCATTTCAACATTAAAATGAGACCTTGCCACAAATTTAGTACTTTGCTTAAATTTATAAAGTCTTAGTACCATAGAGGAAAGTTCATCAGAACAATTACCATGAAAGTATTTATAGAAAAGGCACAGGGAAGTTACATTATGGCAGTGGGAAAGTGACTGAAGCAGAGATGTCAGATCAAGACCAGTAACATTGCAGATTCATTGGAATTCATCAAGAATCTCTAAATATATAGCTGATGCACCAGCAGTATTCAAAGCAAGGACAAATAGTAGACTTATAAATATCTATGATAGATTCTGGTGAGAAAAATTTATAGCAGGGCAGACTGCATTCTCTAGTCTTGGTTGGCAAGTTGGTTGGGTTCTAGAAGAACAATAGCTCTGAATTCAAAACCCTTAATGGAAACTAGAAACCACACCACTTTTTTCTTTAAAAACAGTCTCAGCAATTAACAATTTACATATATTAAAAGAAAAGGAAGCTGTGGAGAACTACATTCTGAAGCCATTACAGAGACTGACACAACACCATCGACTGAGAATAATATATCTGATCTAGTTTGATATTAACTATATAATGCAACTATTTTAATTCAAAGAGGATAGTTTTGGGGTAATTCTTCACATATGCGGCATAAAATAATCTGTCAAAGCACTTATATATCTTTAAATATTTTTTCATCGCAGATATCATCATGGCTAATGGCACTCTGGCCATTAGGTATCCGAGCAAGTTTTGGGAAAGTGTTTCTTCGTTGATGTGTGGGATCAGCAAGTAGAGACTCTGAAAGAGGCGATTGTGCATTATATTTAGCCTGGAAGCCATATTGTTTTAGATAGCTGGGCTGCTTCTGCTGGAATCGATGAAACCAACCATGGTATATACACCGATTACATTGTTATTCATCAACAATAGTCCCCATGTTTTCAGCATTTATTTCCACCATTACATTGTAATAAACATATATTCCTGGATTTTATTGATTTTAGATCTTTCAGAAAAAAGCAGTTTATTTTACACCATTTAAGTGAAGGATTACTAGTTACCATACCTCTTTGAGATGTGCCATAAGTAGATTTTAAACTAGTTCTGGTAACATTTGATTTGATAAGACTATTAGATTATTATTTTATGGTACTGGTTTCGAGTTTCTTTTCTAACTTTCCCACCTATTAATTTGGGAAAAACCTTTCATTTTCAGACAAGTTCTTCTATTTGTTTTTAATATAGTAACTAAGAAACTGAGGTACCTTGAAGTACCTGAGAGGTAGCTAACACCTCTACCAGACGTATGAGTTGACAACTGGACTCAGAAGGGCAAAACTAATCAAAATCAATGTATAAACATATCTATAGCTGGTTTTTGAACATTATGTTGTGGATGTGTTTCAGTTTAATCATTCGTATATGTAAAAATCACTTTTGTCTATGCCAGGGAAAGGTTTAATATGGGTTTTTATCTTTGGATGACATGGCAAGATTATTTTTCATCCCACTCACTGATATTGCAAGCACAAACCCGCTTCAGGTGTTTTCTTAGAACATACAGAGTGTCTAAAACAAAAAAACTAACATCATTTTGTATTCTAACAACATAGCCAATTCAAATGATCTCAAATTTTAGCAAAATGTTTAAAAACTAAGTTGACTGTGTGAGCTCAACTCAGTGAGAATTTAACAAGTAGATGAATTGTGCATTCCAGTGATAATGACAATGTGCTGTTGAAATAGCTACCATGTTTGCCTGACTTGACACCTTGTGATGTTTTTCTATGTGAAAGGACAGGTCTATATCCCCCTCTTCCTACAAGCCTAGAGGAACTTAATCAGAGAATCACTGAGACACTGGAGAATGTTACACAAGATATGCTACAGCGTTTTTGGCAGCAGCTGGACTACCGACTGGATGTGTGCTGTGTCATGAGTGGTGTACATATTGCACATTTGTGAAGCTTTGTAGAATTGGTTATAAAATCATCTGTTTGAATATCTTGTTTGAATTTTTATAAATAAATCTTTTACTGTTCAATATGAAGCTTATTTAATTTTGTTTGCCTGGAACAGGTAGTTACTCAAATATTCACATTTTAAATTATGTCATTTTTATGTAAAATGCATGAAATCACTTGGACTATTTTTCAACGTTTTTATTTTTCTGACAAATGTTTCAGCTGGAATGTATTACTCTACTTTCTTTTCTAATGTCTACAGTGGTGATAATGATGATGATTTTTCTTAGCCTCTTTCTTCTGTCCCTGTGCTATTCTCCTTCAGGACGTTGGTGATAGACTCTCCACAACGTCCTATCTTTATAGCTCTTAGTAGGTTTTGTCTTTTTGCTATATCTCCTAAACCCTATTCTGCTATCCATTTATACAAGCTCGTTAGATTATTTACTGCTTTCCTTCTTTCCTCCTGTGAGTGTCAAATTCTCCAAGCCCTCTTTCCTCTTTTTTTGTGCCCTAGAAATTTCAACTGTCTTTTTTTATTCGATGTATCAGTCTCCATTTTGATCCCAATTTCCTTAAAACTTTGTCATTGTTAACATGGTCTATGGTATTCTCAGCATCCTTCTGTAGAACTATATTTCTTTTGCCTTAAGTCTCTTCTTCAGCTGTCCAGCATTCATGGCCATATAGAACCGATATTATATAACATTTCAGATCTCTTTTCTTTCTAACGAAATTTTCTTGTTTTCTAATACTTTACTTAGCTTTTGAAAGGCATCTTGTGTAATTCAAATGCGCATTCGGATTCCGTTGTCATATTTCCCGTCCTCTGTTAAAACACTATCTAGATATTTAATTTTTGTACTTGTTTGATTTTTGTGTCTCCAATTCGAATCTTGGGTTGTACTACTTGCTAACAACCATACATTATTAATCTTTTTTAAATTGATGCTTAACTACCGTATATTTCTCAGTATAAGGCGACCTTTAAATCTTAAAAATTACTCCCCAAAATAGAGGGTCGTCTAATATAACAGTTACAAAAGTTAACCTTAAATCGTGTGGTGTATCGGCACTTGTAAGTAGGCTAGTATGCTTGCGCCGTAGATCGCGGTAGGCTAACTACAGCCTCGTTATGGTAACTACCGATGTACATATTTCTAGTTGAAACAATTCACATTATAATAATAATACTACACCTATAAATATAATAAAACTATTTTTATTTCTTGATTTCACATTAAAAGAGAGAGATTTCAAGAGACTATACACAACAATTTGCAAAGTTTTCAAAATTTCCGCTCGGTAACACGCACAAGTAACAAGTAACATAAACAAATATTTCGTTCTTGATTTGTAGAGCTACACCAATCATTATTTCTCATAGTAGTGTTAAATAACAACATTTAGGATAACATACAATCTGTATTTCTAATTAAAATTCATTATCATTGCGGTTTTAAATAACAACATTTAACATGCAAACTTTTATTTTTCAATAACATACATTTTGTGTTGTTAAGCAACAAATCATTTAAGATGCCATAAAATCTTTATTCTCATTACAGAATAAAAAAAAATAAGACGCCCACAAAACCCTTCAAAATTACTATGATGATCATCCTCTGATGCAAAGAGCTCATCATAAGCAGCTTCATTTACCGTTCCGTCATATGGGTTCCAGTCGGAAACCATATGACGAAATTGTAAATGATACGGATATCAGATAAAATCACAAAAATCTACCTTGATTTTGTGTCTCGTCTTATCTATAGGTCACCTTATGTGAATATATATGGTATTTAATATTCTGGTAATTAACGACTTTTGAAGTCATTATTGTCCTCTGAATAACTTTTCTTTTAGGAACGTGGAGCAAGTTATCTGTGGGTCATCTGTGTGAATATTATCAAAGATATACACGAAAATACTGTGATGACAACTTTTGCCTTATAACGAAATTTTCTAGAGCTTTGTCTATAATACGTATTTTTGTAGAAAAGCGATAACATTTTCCTGTTCTCCAAGTTTCTTAGCAGAACCAGTGAGAGTCAGGGATAATGTCCCACCCTTTTGAGACGAAGGAACCGCGTAGTGTATTCCAGAAGACGATAAAGGCCGGATATGTTGGCGTATTCTCATTAGGGAAACAGAAAAGAACGTGTGAATTTTAATCGAATAATAAAGAACAGGAGGAAAAAAAATGTCTGGGTCACCCTGACCGTCAATCCGGAGATGAAATTATAAGTTATGTTAAGAGAGACAGAATCAGATCTGGGCGGATTCACCTGGTGAGTGAAAAGTAACGTCCGTGTTTAATCAGAATATGTCTGACAGATCTACGCCTGATTCCCGTAAGTAGCGAGGATATAGTATTGTATAGGAACTCCGACACATGGGAAGTCAGTCTGTCA